ACATAGTAGGAAGACAGTATTTCCACATGTATACAGAGGAAAGAGCCCCAGTTCATTCGTCTCATGGAATCTTCACGAAGATGCACATTTCTTCCCCAGGCAGCAGCCATGGCTGAGCACTTCCGCGAAGCATGCAGATGCCCCGTATGTCTGGACTACCTCGAAAAACCTGTGGTCTTGCAATGTGGATTCGTCTGTTGCACCAACTGCATCAATTCACTGGAGACGGAGCCCCAAGGGGAGGGCTTAAAGTGCCGCTTCTGCACTGGAGTCACTCAGAAGAATGAGATCAAGAGCAAGTGGCAGCTGGGCAGGCTGGTTTCCAGCATCAGGGAACTGGAGCCCCACCTGAGATCCACCCTACAGATGAACCCGAGGGTGCTGAAGTTCCAAGGTACAGTGTCTGCCCCACCCAAACCCTCCCACAAGGGGCCTAGGAAAAAACAACTGGGCAAAAGCCCCTCCACTAAATTTTAGAACAGTTCTGGCACCTAAAATTTGTATGCTACAGGTACATTGTATGCTCAATGTACCATTGAGCTACAGTGGTTCTCGCCACTGCATATAGATTAGAAGCACCTGGAGATGTTTTGGGACTTGTAGTATTTAGACCACGCCCTAGCCCTGCGCTGGGCAGTGTGGTGGCCACTGATGGCTCTTGAGCACTGGAAATGTCACTAGTTCTGACTACATATGATGTTTTATAAAGAACACATATCACTAAAGTTAATGTCACACGTTTCTTTTTATGTTTTTGAATGAAGCTACTGGAAAATTTACAATGACATCTGTGGCTCATTCATGTGATATTTCTTTGGGCAGTGCTGGTCTAGAGCTGGAATGTCCCTCAGATTATCTGAGGGTCTTGTTAAAATGCGTATCTGATGCTAAGGCACTGGGCTTTCATGAGAATCTGGTTTCTTTCTTTTTCTTTTTTTCCTTTTCTTTTTTTTTTTTTTTTTTTAGACAGAGTCTCACTCTGTTGCCCTGGCTAGAGTGCAGTGGCATCAGCCTAGCTCACAGCAACCTCAAACTCCTGAGCTCAAGCAATCCTCCTGCCTCAGCCTTCTGAGTAGCTGGGACTACAGGCATACGCCACCATGCCCAGCTAAGTTTTTCTATATATTTTTGTTGTCCAGATAATTTCTTTCTATTTTTAGTAGAGATGGAGTCTTGCCCTTGTTCAGGCTGGTCTTGAACTCCTGACATTGAGCTATCCTCCCTCCTGGGTCTCCTAGAGTGCTAGGATTACAGGCATGAGCCACCACGCCCAGACTGCTATGTGGATCTCACACGTTTAAGAGAAGAAAAAATCTTGAATTAAACAATGGCATTACTATAAATGCAATTCCTACTAAAAGTCCTCTGTTGCTGTAAAACATATATAGGATAATTTGAAATTTTTGATGTAAGGGACAACAGCTTTAAGAAACAAATGTGAGTAAGATATTTGGGTCTTTGCATTCAAGGTAGAGCGCGGTTCTGCAGGCTGCTGATGTGCTGACCTGTGCATTTTTCTCTCCACAGTGGATGTCACCTTGGATGTTGACACAGCCAACAACCACCTCCTTATTTCCGAAGACCTGAGGAGTGTCCGTTACGGGCCTATCAAACAGGACCGGAGGGAGTGTGCGGAGAGTTTCAGCCACGCTCTTTGTGTCCTGGGCTCCCCCCGGTTCACCTCTGGCCGCCACTACTGGGAGGTGGAGGTGGGGGCGAGCGACGAGTGGGACGTGGGTGTTTGCAGAGAATCTGTGCCCCGCAGTGGGAAGATCTTAATGTCTTCAGCACATGGATTCTGGACACTGAGCCTGAGGGCAAGAACATACTTCTCAGCCAACACTGTGCCTCGGACCGCCCTCTGGGTGAGCCCCAGGTTACGCCGGGTGGGGATTTTCCTGGATGTGGATTTGGGAAACATCACTTTTTGGGACATTAGAGATGGATCCCATATCTTCACATTCACCAGAATCTCTGCTTCTGAGCCGCTGCGTCCGTTCTTCTCCCCAAGCACAAGCTCTGGTGACCAGGGCGTCCTGAGCATCTGCCCTGCTGTCCCAATGCCAGTGTAGGTGAAGACCCCTAGGCCAGGAAGCCAAAGACCAACAGCTGCTGGAAGTTCCTTTGTGCTCGTACCTATGGCTTTATACTTGGTATGCACATTGTACCAGGTAATCGAGAAGCAGGGAACATTTTATGCATCATGTACAAAAACATTAGATTAATTAGAATTAGATTTAGATTAATTAAAATGTAATGTGCATTTTGAATATTAAATACTGTGACTACCAAACTACTTGTGTTTTATGTTTATATTTCTGTTCCTATGCATATAAAACTCCATAACAGTTTCAAAAATGTCTTTTTTTTCTGTGATGTGGCTTATAAATCCCATAAACATTAGGATTGATCAGATGGATTGTGTGATGTTCTATATGATAGAGAATTGATATTTCTTATTCACAGTAAACAATATGTGTTTCTGAACTCAGAAAACTGAATCAATGCCAGTGTGTTGCCCAGAATTGAAAAGACAACTTTTCACCATCACTCCATAGATGATCTGATATTTGGTTGGACCTACACTCATATAGGACAACCACCCTTCATACTGCAGAAATCTGACTGTTGCATCTTCCTCATAACATGTGACATGTTGGTCGCCCCTTATTCTGTAACTTCCCACTTCTGGAATCCCTGGTGCTGGGCTTACCTCCTCCTCCTGAAACAGATGTGGTCACCAAATGCTACGTGTCAGCTAGTGATGCTCTTATCACAGGTTGTTTCCTCATGCCACAGACAGAGTGGTCCACCTGCTGGCTTTTTAAGAGCTTCTTTGCCATTTAAAACTTTGAGCATATTTATATACAAAACATCTGAGCATCATTGAAAACGAGTTCGAAGAGTCTAGTTCACCATTGTATTTGAGTTAAGAAAGATCCGGCCTGACAGTCACATAAACACAAATGTGAAATAGGAAATAATTCAAGGTACACCTTCCCTAGAGACAGGGAAAACCCAGAGCACAGATATGAGGAGTGAACCAGGTGCCAAAGGATTAATTCTGCAAGTCGTCACTTCCCTGGGTAGCCTCGCTGTGACGCAGGCACCGGACGTGAAGGATTTGGCACCAGTAGAACAGTGTTGCATCAGAAGTCATTCCTAAGAAATAAACATTTGGGAGTTGATATCTGCTCTTGTTATCTGTAGAAAAATGATTATTTCTGTTCCAGAAATACAGCCAGCAATTTCACAGTCAGAACTCTGACCACAGTTGACATAGGAAAAACATCTCTTGGAAACTGAGAACTTCAGCCAGCACCTCAAGTTGGCTGGGAGCCTTCATTTTCTTTTTTCATAAATTGAGGAATATGTTTGGCTAAAAATTAACACAAACACTGCCTCTGAGGGAGGGCAAGGCATGTTGTTGCAGGAGCCAGTCGTGAGGCAGGGTGTCCCCCAGGGCCAGAAGCTCAGAGTGGTCAGCCAGGGTCACCTGCGCAGCCAGCACAGAGCCCACTTCTCAGTCATGGGGATAACAGTGCCAGACACCCTCTCCAGGCTTTGGTGGCACCTGGACAAAACAGCATGGCACTGGCATAAAAATAGACGTACATACCAATGGAACATCATAGGCAATCATAGGCAAATTTTCCAAGTGACTTGCCATAACAGGTTATTAAAACTATTACCACAGGTTATCCACTTTTCATGATAAATTTCTAGTGCATAAAGTGAAAGGTATTGCTTTAACATAACACCTAGAAGTAGTATTAAATTTCATTTGTGTCAGTGTCAAAAACATAAAACACTTTGTCAGTTGGAGTTTACCAACTGTATTCTTTGTTTCTGGGACTGGAATCATATTTGTTCTTGATTTGTATCCCATAATGTCTTTCAAATACTTACATACGTAAATATATAAGGCATATGCTCATATACTTACATATATATGTATACTCTTTGCCTATTACTATAACAATTTTAAAGAAAATCATCACATGTCTCTTTGTAGAATATTCTATTATGCATAATACTACTTCTTGTTTTAATTCCATTTGTAATTGTTCATAGAGAACTCTGGTTTATGTTTGTTAATGTGTTGGTGTTTCCTTATGTTTCCTAGTATTTGTTTACTGTGAGCTGCTCATGTCAGGGTTACATGGTTTGGGGAACCACCCAATGCAGTGAGATGTGAAAAAGTCTAAAGGTTCAATTTTGCCTCAAGGAAGATCTCTAAAATCTCCCTTACCTACGATTAGAGTTCATGTCAGTTTCAAGGCTTAAGAATTCCCCCATGAAGTTAAAAGGGAGAGAGGTTTCACAGCCAACACAGGAGGCAGACACTGGTTTTCAATTTCTGAAATATTTCTGAAATGGAACTTGGGGGTCCGATAAGCTTCACGCCTTCCAGTGGACTAGAAATGAAGCGGGTCTTGCCAGGGTCCCCAGTGTTTCAGCATAATAGTGGAAGTCCTTGACCAGGCAATTAGGTAAGAAAAAGGAATAAAGGAATCCTAACTGGGAAGGAAGAAGCCAAATTAACCTTGAATGCAGACAACATGATCTTATATTTAGAAAAACGTAAGGACTCCACCAAAAAGCTGTTAGAACTAATAAATGAATTCAGTAAAGTATCAGGATACAAAATCAACATACAAAAATCAGTAGCATTTATATATGTCAACAGCAAACAAGATAAAAAAAATCAAGAAATCAATTCCATTTATAACAGCTGCAAAGAATATAAAATGCCTAAGAATCAATTTAACCAAAGATGTAAAAGATATATATGAGGAACACTATAAAACACTGATGAAACAAATTGAAGAGGATAAAAAGAAACCATGTTAGCTCATGCTTGTAATCGTAGCACTCTGGGAGGCCAAGGCTGGAAAATCACTTGAGGTCAGGAGTTCAAGACCAGCCTGAACAAGAGTGAGACCTTGTCCCTACCAAAAACAGAAAAAAATTAGCGGGGTCTGGTGGTGCATACCTGTCGTCCCAGTTACTTGGGAGGCTGAGACAGAAGGATCCCTGAGCCTAGAAGTTTGAGGTTCCAGTGAGCTGTGGTGCTGCCACCGCACTCTACCTGGGATGACAGATTGATACTCTCTCAAAAATAAAAAAAGATATCCCATGCTTAATACTAGAAAGAAGCATTTATTTCTTTTATTACTTTTTTACTTTTACTTTTATTATTAAAAGGACAATGCTACTCAAAACAATTTGCAGATTCAATACAATACCTATCAAAATATCAATGACATTAATCACAAAAATGAAAATATCCTAACATTTATGTAGAACCACAAAAAACCCAGAATAGCCAAAGCAATCTGAAGTGAAAAGAACAAAGCTGGAGACATCACACTATTTGACTTCAAAATATCATATAAAGCTTTAGTTACCAAAACAGCATGCCACTGGCATGAAAACATACACATAAACCAATAGAACAGAATAGAGAATCCAGAAATAAATCCACCCATCTAATCCAAATCATTTTTGACAAAGACACCAAGAACATATAATGGAGAAAGGACAGGATCCTTATTAACTGGTGCTGGGGAAACTGAATAACTATTAATAAATGCAGAAGAATGAAATTAGACCCCTATCTCTTACCATATGCAAAAATCAAATTGAACTGGCTTAAAGACTTAAATCTAAGGCCTAAAACTTCATAGTTTCTAGTAGGTTCATGACAACCAGAATAATACTCTTGGGAAACTCCAGGACATTGGCCTAGGCAAAGATGTTTTGTGTAAAACCTCAAAAACTCAGGGAACAAAAGGAAAAACATGGTCATGATGGAGACTCAGACTTGTGGGGGAGGGAATGGGCATTTATTGAAACCTTAAAATCTGTACCCCCATAATATGCCGAAATAAAAA